TCTAGCTATAACTACATTTTTTTTTTAACTTAAGAAAATACAAAAAGAAGAATGCAAATAAAAAATGGGGAATTCAGTAACCATCATATTAAAATAGCCCTCGTACACAAACAGAGATCTAAAACAAAACCATGAGCTCTAGAAAATATTGTATGATATGTACCTGAGAATCCTTCGTTGGTGAGCATGGTTATGATCTACTTGTTCGCTCTCTTTGGTCTCCAGAAGGTTGCAAGAAAAGTGCGGCGATAATAAGCTTGATCGAACGATGATTTCGTTGCGTTTTACTTTGTCGACGGCAAAACAAGTGGTGGTGTCAGGTGTGAGACTGGACCTCTTTAAGTGGATACTCACTCGGGTGCATTGTTATTTCTGAGTGTTTGTTTTGCTTTCAAAAACTACTTTTAATTTATATATATATTTAAATAAAAAATATTTAAAAAAAAACAATGATACATAATGCGAGATTCGAGGTTTTCGCAGATATATTTTTCGACAGAATCAATTTCAAAGAGTCCCACAACTTCACAAATGAGCCCTGCCTACTAAAACTCCAATTTGGGGGACCAGTTATCCTATTAGAATACAAAGGCCCGTTTATAAACTAGATTGGGCTTCCAGATCCATTTCAACCGAACGGGTATTTATAAACCCCGTCGTCTTCAACCGGGTAGACAACCCGCTGGCTTTTTAACCAAAGACGGGAGCGTTCAAGATTCTGCTGTCTCTGCCTCTTCAAGATTTTGCTTGCTATCTCAAACTGCAATTTCTCATTAGGGTTTATAAGTAGAAGAAAGGACTCTCGATTTCAGGTATTTTTATATTTAATTGAAGATATCCTCTCTTTTTTTCCCTTGTTGTGTTTGAGATTAATTTTTCATGTTTGGATTTCATGCCATTTATTTGTAAGCGTTATTTCTGTATGAAATCTGTGATCCTGCATGGTTAATGGATTGTTTTGGGGTTTTAAGAATCTGGGATTAAATTGTCAACTAATAACTAAAACCAGTTGGATGTTTATTCTCTTAGGTTAAATGGAGGATGCAGAAAAAAGAAGTGAAAGATTGAAAGCAATGCGCGCGGTAGCTTCTGCACAGGCTGAAACTTGTAATGATAATGTTGAAACTTCTGCTGTGCCAGGTTTGCTTGCTAATCCGCTTCTTGAGAACGCTGCAACTCGGCCGGCACTGGAGGAGTCGAGGGCGACTCCAAGGTTTGATTTTTATACAGACCCTTCAGCAGCATTTTCTGCCAACCGAAAGAGGACTGCTACTGCTAACCTGGTTGCACGAAGTTTTACACCTCCAAATAATATTTCTTCCATGCCGCAGTTTTCTTCTCCTCGTCCAGGTAGGATACTGCTTGAACAGCTTATTTCCTTCTAAAGTTTCTATGGAATCAATTCATGTTTGATTTTTGTTGTTTGGAATGTTAGCAAATAAAGGATCATGGTAATGTAACATGTTGTGATTTTTTCTGGAGTACAGGATGATGAAAAAATTAACTACTCAAGTAAGATAACTTGTTCAATGTAAAGGGTGTTATTTTTCCTATAAGCATATTGCAATTTTCTTGGTGCTTTCCACTTTCTGTATATATTATAGATGTCATATGGAGCTTTAGAGATATTAAATAGAGATCAACTAACTCTTGGCCGCCTTCAGCTCAAGGGGCATTCAATCGAATGTTGCCAAGCGTGGCTAAGTGGCTTTGGGGAGCAGGGGTGGGAGTGTTATTTTGCGGTGTGTAATATTTTAGTAGATCATTATTGATAGCTTGTGGTTGAGTTGAGAACTTGGCTGCCTGGAATCATTCTGAAATGTTGTACGTGGATGGAATTTTTTGGGTACTTGCCCTAAGCTCATGTAGTAAAATGTTTTGTTGTGCATGGATGATAGTTTTTTCCCTTAATTTTTGGCTGATGGTGATTAAAAATAAAACAAAATGGTTTATACCCTGTTGCTCTATAGGGTGGTAGACAATCTTTAAAACTTTGTGATTATCTCTTTTTTTTCTTGGAAGGTCAAAGGAACCCTGAAGTGACCCCCTCTTCTGCTTATCAATTGCAAAACAATTATTCACATGCGAATCAAATGCAAAGCAATTATTCACCCAATCAGAGAATGTATCCAGGGCAAGGACCATATCACAATGCTGCTTTCTATAGAACCCCAAGCAATTTTGCTAGACCTTTTACCATGAATCAAGGAACTCCTGAAATGTGGAATGGACCAGGTGGTCCAGCAAGCTATCAGAGCTATACTCCTTACAGAGGAATTTCCAGGCCATATCCCATTCATCAAGGGAATCCTGGCTTTGGACCAGTAGGGAGCAGTCCATCCCCTGTCTCAGGTTATGGAGGGAGTCCAGCTAGTTCAGGAAGAGGCCGGGGATACTGGGATAGCAGTTCAGGTCTTGGACAGAGTGGTGGAAGAGGGCGAGGCTTTCGTTCTCGTGGCTTTGCACCAAATGAAACACAGGAGCCAGAATGTTTTTATGATAACTCTATGGTTGAAGATCCATGGCAGCATCTAACACCTGTTTTGTGGAGAGGACTAGATGATCCGGGGAATAATTTGAATGGACCTGTCTCTTCAAATTCCTGGCTTCCAAAATCAATTAGCGTGAAGAAAACAAGAATTTCAGAGTCTTCTAACAAGTCCACTTCTGGACAAACCCTTGCAGAATATCTTTCTGCTGCATTCACTGAAGCGACCAATGATGCACCCAATGTATGACTGCTGGTCATGGAATGTCTCTTCGCCTATGGTAGTAAACTGGATTCCAATCATGGATCATTGCGCTTATTCCAAAAGAAGAAGAGGAATCATTGCCTACCCAAGCAGGCATCTAAGGGATAATAGCAAGGATGGCCTTTTTCCGTTCTTTAGTTGGCTATCTTTAGATGCTGAAGGCACCACTCCAGAAAGTTTCCTGCAACATTAAAACAGGGGTGATATTTCAAGTACATTTTTGTAGATGACTGTTTATGGTCCACGTACCAATATTAGTTTTGAGCCATGTAATTGTCATTTTAATTTTATAATAATCATGTATATGCAGTTTGAAATCTTCAATGAACATAAATGGAACATTGAAAAAAGGTCCCAGTCCTATTTTTGGAGCCATTATCTTATGTTAGTGGATCTGCAATTAAGAGATATGAATCATGTTCCTCCGATGGAACTGCGTCTCCAAGAGTAACAGTGATTCACATGGTCTTGTGCCCTAAAAATAGAAACCGTGTGGTGTGGTTGAGACAGGAGGACCATTTGTCCACCTATTATAGAGCTTAGCTTCCGATCTTCGAGGCGAACCTTTTCAATCGCCAGAAAAATTGTTGGTCCCTGCTTCTTCAATGCATCAGTTCAATATTACCTTATATTTTATTTTAGATTCGTTGAGGTCAAGAACACTAGCATACGTAATCCAACGGCCACCATGACCCAGAAAAAAAGCTACAGATCGACAAAATTTGCTCTTCCAAAGTTACGATTAGAATTTGGAGCATGAGGAACCACTGTTCCTTTGTACCCCATGAACTATGCAGTTCATCTCTTTGTGTATTTATTCCAATAATCTCCAAACAACCACTCTATCTTGGAAAAACAGAAGTTGGGACCATTCATGAAGGGCTTGATCTGCGACGGTAGCTGTTATTGCACATAATTGTAGATTATTGCCTATTATTAGATGGAGTAAAGGTGAGTATTTTCAGTTTTTATTTTAAAAAATAACTATACTAGTTATTTTTTTAGATTTACAACCAAACCAAACTAGAAATTAGTTTAAACCAACTAATTTCAGTTTGGTTCACCTTAGTTTATTTTGTTAAAAAACAGCATAGCTAATTTCTTTTTTTATTAGGCTTTTTTACGAGGTTTGAGGTTGATGTGAAAAAAAAAACTATTCCAATTGTCTAATTTTTTGTCTTTCTTGTCTTTTAATTAGGTTTTTTTTTTGTGTGGGTTTTTAAAAGCTTTTTAATTGATGTAAAATGTTTCAAGTGCCTAATTTATTTTTTTGAGCTTTTTTTTTAAATTTTTCAGAGGTGTTATTCACAATAATATAATAATACAATATCAATTCATCACCCATGAAGAACAAGACAACATATTACAGGCCAAGCGAGCAAGCACTTCGCAAAAAACTGGTCTGAAGTAATATACTAGTACACAAGTTCTCCCAAACAAGCTTTTCTATTCTAAAAATAAATTAAAATATGGTAACAACTTAATTTTGATTTTTATAATTTTAATTTTATTTTATAATTTTATTATTTAATATTTTGTTGGTTAAAAATTGAGTTTTATAGTTTTTCCAAATAGAATACTTCTAATATAATAATTTGGTTTATATATTTAAAAAATTAATGCAGGTTAATATTTTTTTTTATTTTAGCTTTCTTCATTTGACATTGTTTTTTTTTAAAGAAAAACAAAAATAAACTTTGTGATTTTTATTTTTTTATTGAATTATTTTAATCTTATGACTTCAGTTGTAGGTTCGATAAGTTAATCTTAATTGGCTTAATTTTTAATATTTAAGTTATAATTTTGTTATGCAAACTCAAGTTTTTTTTATCTTTTTTATTCAATTTCATATTTTTATAATTCATGAGCTACATCATTTTTTTCTTTTTAGAAAATCTTTCTTGTGTTAACGTGATTTTTTTATTTGAGCTATTTATTGTTGTTATTTATTTTTATTATCTAATTAAAATAAAATCAATTTATTTAACTGAATTAAGTTAATGTCCTGAGACGTGGATTGTTATTTCTTATTTAAATGTGCTTACGGCACCTCAATATTATTTTCTAAAAAAAAATCCAACCTGTGACAGGATCCACAACTATTTTTGAGTCTATTTAAAATGTAAAAATAAATAAAATCAGTACACAGTTATAGTTTTTGTTGAGCCAGTAAAGTTTTTTTTTTTCCAAGGCAGATGCATTAAAATTGAGATTTACCTTCAATTATCAGAAACAGTAAAAACTTAATTTCAATAATCATATCAATGAGTTTTCATTATTAAATATTAATGCACACTCATCTTTGCAAGTGGAGTGATGAACAACCAAAGCATGGTCAGTCTCTATATAGCCCATGAACATACAAGAAAAACTTTGAAGGGTATCTGCACAACCACCTTATATTCCTAGAGCTCTAAGTCACATCATGGAACACCACTTTAAGCTGGAGTCTTTACAACTATATAAAAGAAAAGGTATGTGAATCATCCCCTCATATGAAAATGAAGAATTAGAATCAGAAACAATATTATTTGTTTCATAAATATAAGGGTCATGACATCAAAGATTTTGTTACCCTAAAAAAGGAGATAAGAAGGCTTATTAAAAAAAAAAAAAAAGGGGTTATCTCGAGCGGACTGTGAATAAAGGTTTCCATCGTGACCAAAGGAGAGGAGACAGGTACAAACCATGAGGCATTGTCTGAAATTAATATGATATTAGGTGGGATATCCGCTAGGAGAAACTTCGTAAGAAAAAATCATATGAAAAGTAGGTTCTGGTTACCTCTCATACTCCAAACTTATGGCATGAACCAGTTGTGTTCACTTTAGAAGATGGAGAAGGGTAACTTTTGAGGATGCCTTAGTAATCAGCACAATCCTCTTCAATCGTCAAGTACATAGGTTTCTGGTGGATAGTGGCAATGCAATAAACATTCTCTTCAAATATGTTATAAAACCAAATGGGAATAGTCAACTCTAGATTGATCCTGATTAAAATGAAATTGATTAGGATAAAAGAAAAGAGTGTGCTGATTGACAGTGCCCTAGAAATACCGATAACTATAGGTATTTATTCCATGTGCAAGATTCTAAAGCAAACTTTCATAGCCATGAAGATGCATTTGGCCTACAATTTTACAATTGGTAGACCCCTTATAAATGGGATCAATGCCTACATTAGCGCTATATATTTAAGCATGAAATTTTCCATTGAAAAAGGGGTAGCTGCTATTAAGAGAAATCAAATGGCATCATGAAGATACACCTCCATGGTCTCAAAGAAAAAAAGATTATGTTAGTACTGTAGTACAGGATAAGGGAAGTCATGCGAAATAAAGAAAGGAAAGATGTACAGAAATGGCAGAAAGTCGTAGAAGTTCACCTTTTAGGCAAATAAATTAGTACAATCACCAGTATAGAGTTTATATCACCTTGAACAGTAAAGAGCCCTCACATATCTCCTGAAGATCTATGGTGATAACTCCACCTTCGTACCTTCTAACACTATGGGCATCAACCATGAGTAAGTTGCACCCACGTTGAATAGAAGTCATTTCTTTCAACCATACGATAAAAAATAAAATAAAAAATGAAGGGACTTCAAGAAGAGAGGTAGCAAGAAGAGAGGTAGAAGTTAATGTATAAGAAAATAAATAAATTTTTAGAGGTGGACGATTGACTTTGAGTTCCTAATTTCCACAAGCTTGAACTCAGGTAATCACCAAATTCTCATACACCTTGAAGATGAAGAAAAAAAATCCTTTGTTATAGATATATGGATGCTTTACTACAAGACCATGCCATTCGAGCTTAAAAACCTGGGAGCTACTTGCCAAAAGATGACGGACAGAGTCTTTAAAGACCAGTTAGAAAGGAATATAATGGCATATATGAATGATATACTTCGTAAAATGCATGAGTTTTGAGAAGCATCTCCAAAAACTCTTAACAGGTATACCCAGTTCTTTGCTAGTATCAAAAGAAATTAAAACCCGTTAAGTGTGATTTCGCCTTCGTGGATAAAAGATAATCAGTAAACAGTGAATACAACCAAACCCCAAAAACGTAAGCCATTTTATATACATGAGACGTGGACAATCAGTAAGTGCAGGTAACAGGGAAAGACTTGCTAGAAGGGTAACAACCCTCGATAGATTCATCTCTTGTCAGGATAATGTTGTCTACTGTTCTCTTTGCAAAACATTCACGGAAAGCATTTTCCCGAGTATTAATAATCTCACGTGGAAATTCTTTACGCCAGAGGAGTTTTGTTTAGGAGAGCATGTCGAAGCATGCGTAGGCAACAAACATAAGCACGTTAGTCTTCTATTCAATATTAATTGAATCTAGTAACAAAATTAAGCAGCTGGTGCACATTCAGCTTTGCTTGACAGACAAAATCCTAGATGACTTGGATAAACTCTAAATTTTCCACCTGGCTAAGAGTTTATGTTTTCAGTATTTAATGCCACAGCTTGGTGCAAAACCCGTGCCAAGGAACTGGTTTTTTATCGCAGCATATCTTGTCCATGAAGGTGTCAATGAGCTGCTCAGCTAAGCTTTGTGGGTCATCGACCAAAGCATCCACAAAAACGTTGACCACCCTTCTATCCTGCAGTGTTGCTTTCAGGCTAAACCAAGTAAGGAATTTTACTCTGAAATCTTCAGCTATGTGCCCTCTAAGCTCTAACCACTTGACAACTCTCACAGAATATTCATAAGCACTCTCGTCTACTCGCTTTTTGCAATCTAAGCCTGATACTTCCTGCATCCCATTGGAATTACAAGGAGTGGGAGGAGAAAATGATCCAAGGTTCATCCCCTCATTCTTGTTCTCGTTCATGTCCTTCCCTGCTTGTAGCCTAGGGGAAGATTCTTCAAATTGGATCTGACAAGCTGAAAACAAATTTTAACAGCATAAGTAAATGGCAGACCTCTCATTTGGAAATACCATCATTTCAAAAGTAAAGGCTGGACCTATGACATCATTTTAGTGGCCACAGCATAATATCCATACCTGTTCTCTTTAGAGTGATTGGAACTTGAATTGTGAGAATGAACTTACATGTTGGCTCTTTCTGTTCCAAATAACCATGATAATTGTCCGCAAACATTGAATCAAAGGCTTCCACAGCAGAAGCGCACAGTTTCGGAACCTCAGCACATGCTGGCTCTTTCTTTTCCACATAACGATGATAACTACCACCGCACATTGAATCAAAAGCTTCCACTGTAGAAGCACACAATTTCTGAACCTCGGCACCACAAGAGAGCCTGTTAACAATTCCCCGTGCCATCTTAGAACACACCAGATCCAGAGGTCCCAATTCATTCTTCAGCAATTGCAAGGCAGTTTCCATGCTCTTCTGCAGTTCCTTGTATTGCTCGGTTCCTGTGAGCATCCTGTAACCCAAAAGGACTCGTTGACACAATACATCAACTCGTCTTGCCTCTTTGGCAACCAACAATTGCTTTCTCCAGTTCCTGTAAACACCAAATATGCAATTGGCCGTCATCAGTAAATCTACCAGCTGAGCAACCCTTATTGGATCTTGGACCAGTTCGAGATTTGGCTTGTTGTTTGGACATATGAAGAAGTGCACAAATCTTTTTAATGCTAAACAATAATAAAACATCCCGTGTGTCTAGGGGCGAAATAGAATGGAAGATTAAAAACACCTCTTACCTCATCAGCTCATTAACTTGTCTGCAAGAAGCACAGTAGAAACTTCCTTCTAGCTTTGAATGACAACCAATCTTCATAATTCCAGTCCTTTCATCCTTCAAAGCACAGATTAGATGGCAAGTAAGTCCGCATGATCTCTTACCAAGAGAATCAGAACCACAGGTTAACCATAGACTGGGATCCTTGTTATCGTCATAGTAATGACAGATACAGCAAGAACATCTCTTGCAAAAAGCATCACCAGGAGATAAAGTAGCTCCGCAAGCAGTATTTTCACATATTTGCATTTTGATGTATTCTTCACTGTTATTCTTTGCAGAAACAAAATTCAGGTCAATTGATAAGTGAGCTTGAGATTCTTTCTTCCTTGGCCTTTTAAATCCAGCTTGAGGATTGGCAGGAGAAACAGCCATAATATTGCCTATACTGCTCCTCTTGGACGTCTTTGAAACCAACTTTAGGAGGTGCTTTATCATTTGAAACTTCGTATATCCTGAGTATTTCCTTTCTTTACCCATCTCTGCACAAATAATCTCAAGAAGCTCCCTACGGGTGAATGAACTAAGAACCTCAGGGGCATCTTTTGACCATTGGGCAATCTCACGAACAAGTTCTCTTCTCTCCCCCAAACTCAGCTGACTGCATTTTGAAGGGTCAAGCACAAAGCCTGCGACACAATAACCAAATAAACAATGCATAGAAGACAGACTACCACCACCCCAAAGCATATATATGCAGATAAGGTCAATCATCCCTAGTGTTCTGACGATTAGCGAAGGAAAGAAGGGGCAATAATAGCAATGATCCTTCACTATGAAATGCGACCAAGAAGCACAAAAGGACCAGAAACAAAAAAAGCAAATGCAGAGTTCCAGCGCCCATGTTCAAGCTAGCAAGCCATTGTACCATCATGTGCTGGGAAGCAGGGACGTGACCTTAACAAGGGCAAGCATCATTTTTAAAAAAAATAAAAAAATAAAAAAAATTTGTTAGCTCAACACTCTCTCTGATTAAGGCAGCTCAACATCTAAATCATGTACTAGTATTAATTCTACACACTAAACTTTACCAAACAAGCTCTTGAAAATTAACACGCATAATTTTATATAGTAAAAAGAGGTTAACACTGGCAATGAAATTTCTTACTATCTAATACCGAATAAGACTGTTTGTTCAAGTCTGCAATTCCAGTCAACAAAATGTATTAACAAGTACACATAGAAGGGCTCATAAGCTCATTCCTATGGAAACGTGATTAAAATTTGATCAATCACCGCTTAGAACAACCAGAAACCACATAAAAGTTCGTGCAAATATCTGGTGTCTTATGTCTCAACAGCTTATCTCTAGATGATGACAATATTACAGCAAAACTTACATGCATTATATATATTGTACAGAGTCTTAAATAGTTAAGGGAAAATCCAGGAAATTTCAACGACTACCCAGTATACATTGTAAAGATTCATCATGAGAGACAAAAAAGAAAGAAAAAGGCACCGTGACAAAAGTAAAGAATGTGAGAAGCAAAACCCAGATGCCAAGAAGTATAAAATGACAGGCATTGTCGAAGAGAACCCAAAAGGGAAGATAAAGCAACCACCTTTGATTTTTTTAGTAAGCATCCACCAGAAAGGGAAAAATAACAAGAAACAAAAATGTGAGAAATGACCTGACAAACCTCCTGGGGTCATCATGTTCAATGGCTTCTCCTCCGCTGGTTTTCTCATAAAATAGATGAAAAACAAGATAAATGCAGTGGTTAACTTATACAGTTAGCGAGAGCGAAAGAGAGTGAGAGTGAGAGTGAGTGTGAGACAAGGAGAGAGGAATTGCCCAAAAACAATTTACTCGTTACTACTGCTACGTTTCTTTTCTCTCTCCTTGTAGCTCGGGTACATCTCTCCTCGTCTTTGTGATATAAACGAGGAGGGACTCAGGTAGGGTAGGAAGGAGAGACCTAACTGGTGTGGGGACACAGGTTTTGGTACGAGATGTGCTCAGCTTCATCTTGGCTTTAGGCTGCCGCGGCTCTTTCCACCAACACCGTACCTTTTTTTATTATTTTTTTTATGATGGGATAGGTTAGGAACCTATGACGCATAGGCGTGCATTATTTGAATTAGATGTAGTTAATTATTTTTAATGTGCAGTGGTTTTGTTT